GATAATTCTCATTCTAGTTAAAGTTGTGATCCAAAACTTTTTTTGGGGTTGGGGGTTAAGGGGGAACTTTTTGGGACGAACTTTCTCTACACTTTTTCTCGATCGGACTTGGGCTAATTTTCGACCAATTTTGGGATAAATTTGAAATTTGAAATTTCAAGTTGAAATGGTTATCCGAGATTTTTTTTCATAATTGAGAGGGACTTTTTAGGAGCAGCGGGGAGGGACTATAGTTGGGTGGGAGGATGGAGTGCTGGCAAGGCCGTCACAGAGAGAGAGTTTGTGGGCGATGGGGGGATGGACGCGGTTACCATGGCAACCATGGCTGGGCCTCGACTAATGTCTCGCCGCGTCTTCCAATGGATTTCTCTCCGGTTATACACTATCTGGCATTCAAAACCAGGGCTGATCCGTATCTCCGAGAGTATCATCGAGTGTATCGGAGAATTTATATTTTTCAAGATTTTTTTTCTTGACGGGGTGGGCCGGAGGGTGGTAAGGGGGTGGGGTGGCGTCTATTGTAGAAATTCAGGTGTAGATTCCCTACGGAAATATTGACATATTAAAAAATTCACTTTAAAAATACTATTCTTAATTCGTGATGATCGCAATCATTGCAGGTGCTTATTTTTCGTTGCATTTCAATCTTCATAAAATTTAGAATTGAATAATTAATGGCGTTTGGTGGACGAAATTTAAATAAAAAACTGCATGAATAATCTTGCTGTCGATATTCATCGTAAATGTTAAACTACATAAAACGATTCCCGATAAATTCTGCATTTTGATTCCGGGTTAATGAGTCATTGAGGAATTTGGTTGGTAGTCCACCCGAATTTTCAATGAATTATGATCCCTCACAGGTTTACTGGCATATAGCCGGGTGTGCTCAGCTGAGCGTTGAATATCCCGTCGGACGGCTAAAATCCGAGTACATGTCAGCGAGCCAGTGCGATCAATTTGATCAAAATGTCATTTTATCCTCGACAAAATTTCAATTTTACATTCTTAAACTGGCCGAAAAAACGGGGAACATACGAAAAAAAAAATATAATTTTTATGATAATTTTAAAATTAAATAAGACACTTGGAAAAAATTATGAACTTTGCTATTAATTATTCGGAGATTAATTGGAATGACATATTCGGTTGTACCTCCAGCGGAGAATTCTTGAAGTGGATAGAAAAAAATTCTTAACATTTTTATCGATCGGCCGGTGTGAGACCCCGATGGAATCCACATGTTGTATGTCACCTAGGACACACTTTACGGTTTCTCAGCACGGAGGTGAGTTAACCGTCGCCCTCGGGTGATCCATAAGTGTCTATACCAGAGGGTTATAACGTTTTCCTGAAATAGACTATAACCTAATATAAGATAATGCCCCGGTGCCTGCGATGTCTCAAAAACCCAAGAAAGATAGAAAGAAGGATCTTCCCAATAAAATATGATGTACACTCCGATGTACTGTAAAAATGTATGAAAATTCGAGCCTCTGAACAGCTGATCACAATGAAATAAAACTGAAACAGGCAATTCCGCGTGATTTCACTCTCGTGCGTCTTCGGCTGCTGCCGCTCGGCCTCGCGTTCGTTCGTGCGCGCTCGAGACCCGAAGCATTCGGTCACTCAAGAGACAAAAACCCGTTATCCCGGGCCAAACAGATCAATTTTAATTGTCTCGTGACGAAGAAATGTGGAAGAGTGGGTTCTGGTGGTTCGTTGTTAGCTCTCCATTCTCAAAAAAAAATCCACCAGAGAAATAAGGACGAATCACGAAAAATAATTCGTCACCGCTTCCGTAAATCATTTTTTAATTTCATTCTCAGTCGACTCTTTACGCCAACTTATTTTTGACTCGGTGTACCGTGACGCCAACGAAACTACGTCGCACCGACGTTTGTATACCCCTCTGACTGCCGGTTTACTGACCTACCCTTGGCAAGTCCTTGGCGCTCTATCCGCAAACAAAGCCATCCCAGGGTTCTAACACGTAACCAACAATAAAAGTTTACTTAATAAAACCCAAAGTTCGCGGTGGAATAAAGAGGAGGTGGGTGGTACGTGATGGATGAAGTGAGAGGGGAATTACAGTATTTGAGCTGGAGAGTGAATTTTTGAAATTTATTTCATCCGAATCAAGTTTATTTCCAGATAACAACGGCAACGAATCAGTTCGATGGAAATCTCCTAGACTCGAATGTTATGGGTATAATTAGATACTCAATGGCTTTGTGGATATTTTCGGTGTGACAAGACGAAACGGTCGAGATAGATTCCTTCGTATTTATAAAATTTTCGCGGAATCTGAGTCACTGCGGAATTATACTGGCAGTTGTGAATCTCCGAGAGTTAAAGATTTTTTTCCCGAGTTCTTCAAAGTGTTGGGATGATTTACCAATTTTTTTTTTTCAATACTTAACATTTTTTTTGGGGGTGGAATTTTTCATTGAAATTTCGTGATGAGTACTTCCCGTCCTCGGGGGAAAAACACGACTTTCCGTCCTTGATGGACGCTTTATTATTTTTCCTCTGACAATTTTTATTGGATTTTTCTTTTCTTCGGGATATGCAGTAATGATTTTAAAAACGGACTATTGTTATTTGATTTAAAGAAATTCTCATGGTGGCGATGAATGGAAGGAATGAATGGAGATTTCAACATTTTAATTCATACCCTGGAATTTAAATACCAGTGGCGCTCGAGGGCACTCCAACAGGGACAGGGGGAGTTCTTTCATTCTCATCATCAGGGGTAGGTCAGGACTTCGGGTACCTGTGCCGGAATTACGATCGAGTCAGCCAGGTGAAGCGTGTCTCTCAGTCTCGGTGCGACACGCGAACTGATCCTCCCCTCTTATTTTTCCTTTTGTCCAATTTTTTTTTTCTCATTCCCGTGTACCACACCTGTCATTCTCATCGGAATTTTTCACAGGAAATGCATTCTAATCGCAATCCAACGATTTCCCCTTTCAGACATTTGATATCTGACTATTTCGCGTCAATCGAAATTCATCTATCACGTCCCGCTAAATTCGAAATATTGAAAGAAGGTCTCACAAGGTCATATGAAGGTCAAAAACCTGAGGACCCATCACCCGGCGCCACGTGAAAAATTCCACCTGGTGCGCCCTTTCCTGAGTTTCCTCCCCAGGAAGATACCCCAATCCGAAAATTAATTTCACCCCCTGGGTCAGCGTGGGTAAATAACCCCAAAATGATTTACCCCATTTTCCGAGGAAAATCGAGCCCTCCAATTTCACCAACCCCTTCATCATTCAATAAATAAAAATTACCGAAAGTTCTCGAGAAAATGTTGATCACCCGATGGATCCCGGTATTTCCATTTAATCAAGTACTACCCATTCCCCAAGAAAACTCAAATAAAACATGGGGGAAAAAAATCGGGTGAGTGGAGAAGCTGTGCGTGTGCCATCGAAGGACAATAAAAAATCGCAGGTGATTATCCGACCCCTCGTTGGGTTAGTTGTAGCTCGATGCCCTGTCGAGGGGAGGATGGGGGATTTGCAGAAGGGGGTGGGGAAGTTTATCGATCGAGGAGAGAGAGTCAACGGGGAGAGAAGTGAGAGAGGAAGAGAACAACGTGTCGCCCACCGTTGAGGGTATACAAGGTTATTTGCGATTCGCCAACGGGAAGCGATACGATATTATTGGCCCATGGATAGTGTACACCGGATTGCATTTACGCCCATCCAATTTTTTCCACCTTTTTTTT